AGTAGAACTGCCTGATAGTGTTTCCAAGGCTGTAATCATGTGGAACCTGGGACATAGACCAAGAGGCAGTCATTTGAACAGAACAAGGGAATATTGTGTGCTTCAAAATCAGGAAAGGTATGTGTCAGGGTTGTGTCCTTTCACCACACTTGTTCACTCTGTATGCTGAACAAATAATGAGGAAGAACAGGGAGTTAGGATTGGAGGAAGACTCCTTAACAACCTGGTATTTACAAATAGCCACTTTGTTTGCTGGAAGCAAAGAGGACTTGAAGCACCTGTTGAAGATCAAAGACTCTAGCCTTCAGTATGGATGACCCCTCAACAGAAAGACAGCCCAAATCCTCACAACTAGAGCAATAAACAACGTAATGAAAAATGGAGAAAAGATTGAAATTGTCAAGGATTTCATTTCATTTAGAGCCACAATGAATGCCCATGGAGGCAGCAGTCAATAAATCAAATGACATGTTGCATAAGGCAAATCTATTGCAACAGACCTCTTTAATGTGTTCAAAAGAAAAGATGTCACCTTGAGGACTAAGGTATGCCTGACCCAAGCCATGGTATTTTCAATAGCCTGATATGCATTGGAAAGCTGGACATTGATTAAGGAAGACCAAAGAAGAATTGATGCATTTGAATAATGATGTTGGCAAAGAATATTGAATATACCATGGGCTGTCCGAAGAATGGACAAATCTGTCTTGGAAGAAGGATAACCAGAATGCTCCTTGGAAGCGAGGATGGTGAGACTTCATTTCACCTACTTTGACCATGTGATCGGGAGCAACCAGTCCCTGGAGAAAGTCATTGTACTTGATAACGTAGAGGGTCAGCAAAAAAGAAGACCCTCAATGAGATGGACTGACATAGTGGCTGCTACAGTGGGCTCAAGCATGGCCATGGTTGTGAGGAAGGCAAAGGACTGGGCAGGGTTTCTTTCTGTTGTACATGGAGTGGGTATGAGTCAGAGCCAACTCCATGGTGCCTAATAGCAACAATAAAAATCTTTGTGGAAGCAGATTACCACAGCTTTTTCCAGCTGAACGGCTGGTGGGTTCAAACTGCCCACCTTTCAGTTAGCAGCTAAGTGCTTAGCCACTGAGCTACCAGGGCTCCTTCGAACACTCTCATAAGTCAATATTATGATTATCAACGTTTAATAGGTGAGACTGTTGAGTTTTAGGTCAAATTTTTAGTAAGTTGTATATCAAGAAAGAGCTCTGGTGGTGCAGTGGGTAAAGTGTTTGGCTGTGAACCAAAAAGCTGGTGGGTCAAATCCAAATGCCAAGATGAGGTGGTCTGTTTCTGTAAATTTTTACAGCCTTGGAAAATCTATGGGGCAGTTCTCCTCCATCCTAAAAGGTTGCTAAGAGTTGGAATCAACTCAATGGCAGTGGGTTTGGTTTGGGGTTTTGATACGTCAAGAGTTGGAACTAAGGTGATGCTGACTCCAAAACCTTTAAGAATGACATATACCTATGAAAATACTAGAGCATATTGGGGGCAAAGTTATACAAACTTCTTAGCCATAACCAAACACCTTGAGAGAATGAATCACTGGGCCTGGGAGCTCAGGAACATAGACCCTTTGGGGACCTCAAGGTCAATTGGCATAACATAGTCCGTGGAGACAATGTTGTATATCCTACTTTGGTGAGTAGTGATTGGGGTCTTAAAAGCTTGTGAGTGGCCATCTAAGGTGCAACTACTGGTCACTCCCCATCCAGAGCAAAGAAGAGTGAAGAAAAGAAAAAATGCATGGAAACAACTAGTCTAAAGGACTTATGGACCGTGGAAACCCCAGCCCCCATGACCCTGAGACAAGAAGAACTAGATGGTGTCTGGCTACCACTAGCAACTGCTCCGAAAGTGATCACAATAGGAGATCCTGGATCGAGTGGGAGAAAAATGTGGAATAAAATGCACAATCATAAAAAAAACAGGCTTACTGGTCTGCTAGAGACTGGTGGAACCCCTGACACTATGGCCCTTAGACACCCTCCAGGCCTGGAACTGAACTCACCCCGGTGGCTCAAGTTTCAGCCAAACAATCAGCCAACCTATAAGGTGAACAGTGACACCAGGGAGGTATGCACTTCTTAGAACAATCAACCATAGGAGATCAAAAGGGCAGCATTCACCCAAGGAAGGCAGAAAGGGATAGGAAAGAAGGATGAAGGGGTGAGAAGGAAGGGAAATGGGAAACATACAGAGGAAGTGGGAAGAGAGTTGTTACATTGTGGTGACTGCAATCAACAAAAGAAAACAAAATGTGTATGAATTGTTGAGTTGAAAACCAATTGCTTTGTAAACTTTCACCCAAACTACAATAAAAAGTTAGAAAAAATAGAAGAATGACAATGCTCTGAGGCTGGCCTCAAATGAAACTCTAGTGTCAAGTTGAGGCAAAGAAGTGGCAGACTTAGCTTTGTAGTATCTGGGTCTCAGCATTTGGGATGCCTTTGTTCAGGAAAAGTTCTGGCAAACTCTTAGTGTCCAAGCAGGGGAATCGGTGGAGAGAATGTCAGTATCTGGTGGTTTCTAGGTCCTGGGATAGAGGAGTTTTTAGGAATTCCAGTAGAAGTATTTATCTTTCCTACCAGTGCCTTGTGCATAGTAGGTGCTCAGACGTCCATGATAAAATGAATTTGTATTTGAGCAAGAGCTATCTACAGACTCATCCCAGTAGCAG